TGTGTGTGTGTGTGTGTGTGTGTGTGTGTGTGTGTGTGTGTGTGTGTCTTACCTGCTTGGCCTTGTTAATCTTCAGGTTCTGCTGGTTCTGTCTCTCTGTTAGGTGTCCTCACGGCTAATGACCCGGGTATCGACCCCCTTACATGCTGTTTAGATGGCAGATCTGCTGCCCGCTCTGTTCCTCCTCTCAGAGGACGCCGTTGGGCTTTGATGCGGCGCGGAGCCGCTCCTTCACCTTCTTATCGTTTTCCTCTGAGACTGATTCTCTCTATCTCAGACACTCCATCACTCACTCACTTCTCTCTCTCTCTCTCACTCTCACTCTCACTCGCTCAGAGTGCGGGTCCTGGTTTTCCTCTGAGACTGATTCTCTCTGTCACTCACTTCTGTCTCTGTCTCTCTCACTCTCTCTCACTCCTGGTCCTGGTCTTCCTCTGTGCAGAGGAAGCTGGGGGGGAGCTCTGAGTCCAGCTGTCACTTACCATGTTATCGCCAACAAAGAGGCTCGAAGGCCTCTGAGCTCTGAAAGGAGCTCATCTGATGCAGAATGAAAGTGTTTCTGTTCATGGTGGCTCCAGAAATACAACAGTGATGATGATGATGATGATGATGAAGTTCATGCTGGTGAAGTGATTGTTTTGTCACAGATTACGAGGATGATTGTGGTGACGATACATAAGGAGATATTGCTAACGATGCTGATGAGTGTTGAGACGATGCTGATTACGATGAGTGTTGAAGATCACCGTCGTTTGGTGATTATCGTGATGAGACGTGAATGTGATGACGATGAAGGCTTTGTTGTAGTTGATGGTGTTGAACAATAAAATAGTACAGTTATCATATCATTCTGTGGAAACTTTTCCACAACAAAATAAAGCAAAAACATCTCTTTTCTTAAATAGTTTATCATATTTTCATCTTTTCATCCAGATGTTTTGGTTTCACTTTTGGGGCGCTCGCCCCCCGTAGTGGCTTCCAGAGTAGAAGAGCAATAAACTGTAGAGCAGACGGGCAAAACAAAAGTGCATCGACTTCAGGTGAAGAAGAACCTTTAATGATGCAGACTTGTTAATTAGCAGCGCTGTAGCCCAGCGGGACAGCGAGCAGGGCTCTGATGAGAAGATGCTCTCTGAGAGAGAACCAGCGCTGTTCTGATGCAAAGACTTCAGCAGGAATGTGCTTATATATGAAAGTGCAATATCAATATTTTGTCTTTAAAATCAATGAATAATCCTGGTAATAGATCTCAGTATTGATGAAAAATAGTCGTGAACTACAGCAGAACAGCCGAGTCACCTTTCACCATCAATCATTCTGTGACTCAGCAGGTTCTGGCTTTTGAGGGTAAAACTGTGGGTTTCATTTGAAAACTTCATATCTCAGAATCACGTCACAGCAAGTTAGTGTCTGCTGTCCCGCCAAACACCTTCACGATATTCAGCATCTTATGTTCCTCTGATTATGTTTGTGGAACTGCAACTTGAAAGACGGGTCGTCTCCCTGAAGCCAGGAGACGTGGTGAGGAACGTAAAGACCTTAAGGAGATAAAAACAGACTTCCATCCAGCTCTGAACCAAACCACACGGTGCGTTTGGGTCACACGTGCAGGTGTAGTTATTCTGAGTGTTTGGAAGCTGCAGCGCCGGCCTTCAGAGGAGTTCAGTTCAAAGTGGTTAGCTTGAGATCTGCAGACTGATCAACTGCATCCGATGGTGAAGTTCAGAGTGAAATCCTCAGTGAGTCTGACAGAGACAATATTAATTGTGTTTTGACTTGTTAAAAAGAAATCTAGAGCACACCGAACCCGTAGAGACCCTCATTAGCTGCACTACTGGAAGTGTGTGGGAGAAAATGCATTGATTAAAGAGAGGAAACATGCACACGCACACACACACACACACACACACCTTGTTTTGTGCTTGATTTAGTCTTTTGCCAGGACTTTAAAATGAGATGGTGCGAGTGAGTGAGGGAGAAAGAGGGGGAGAGAGAAAAAAGGAGGTGTAGGAGGAATATTGTGTGATCAATACATTGTGGTGAGAGGGTGGTTAGATGACTTTTTGTGTGTGTGTGTGTGTGTGTGTGTGTGTGTGTGTGTGTGTGTGTGTGGGTGGGTCTCTGTCTCTCGATTAGGGTCCAGCTGCTTACTTGCTCGCCCTGACCTTTTCTCAGAGCTCCCATGGTCCTCAGAGCCGCTGACAGCCCGGGCTGCAGTGGATTATGGGTAATGAGAGTGGGATTCACACCCTGCCGTGTGTGTGTGTGTGTGTGAGAAATAATAAATATCTATATATAGATAGAGCTCAGTTTTTTATGGTGTGTTTTCACAGCTGACTCTCTCGGCTGCTTTATTGATTTAATACTCAAGACTACAACGTTTAGTCTGACAATTTTAATATCTGATGAATAATTAATTAAACCTTTTTTCATTTTTGTTCTTGAGAACTAAATATTATTTCATTTTGACACAAAACCAGCAGCATGAGGAGGTCACCTTGATCTCTTACAGAATAAACAAAGAATCATTCAAACGTGACTAAACTAAATATGGTAACCTGTGAAGATGAAAACTGAGCTGCATCAGGTTTTATGTGAAAGACTTTTTGTCGTAGTAGAGGCAATTTATTCAGATATGCAACACGTCCACTAACTCTCTGTCGAAGCCTCCAAACAAAGAAACCCAGAACATCTCACTGCAGCCATCTGTCAGAGCGATGCGCTCGGATTACATGCCTGGAGTTGAGAACAGAGGCTCAGCCGGAGCGCTGTTCCTCCTCGTCCTCTAATCCTTTAACACGATCCCTCAGTGTTCAACGAAGACGTCCCGCTTAGTTCTCCTCTGCCGATGGGACGACTCCCGACCCGCCGGTTAGTAACACGGATATAATCTGATGAACTCTCCAACACTGCTCACTAATTCTTTAATTGTCTTTTCAATTCAAACAAAATCAGGCTAATTGTCTCATTATGAGCCGTCCGACTCGGCTCCATTATGTGTAATTATAGGAGAGACGAGTCGGAGACGACATGCGATGTTCTTCACTTTCTCTTGATCCTTTTGTATTTCTGTCTCTCTGTCCTTTTGTCTTTCTGCTTTCTTTCAACAGTCTGTCCTCCAGAGGTCTTAATTGCTTTCAATACAGTTTGTTTGTTTTCGTCTCCAATTTTCCTTCTGAATCTTCTTTTGTTTTTCCGCCTGCTGAGTTTGGTCTTTTGTTTTGTTTCTTTGTGTTTGACGCTGTCTTTATCATTATCTGTATCACCTCTTTGGTTCTTGATCTTCTGTATTCAGCGCTTTGACTTCATAAAGTTATAATATTGAATTTTATAAAAGTTACTTTTTATTTGCTCAGTTTATTCTTTGAGTCTGGATCTTGGTTATTAGTGATTTTAGGGCGTATAATTAGTGATCATAATTTGGCCAAATGTTCGCAAAGTCGCTCATAAAATAATGAAATAAACTTTGAATGTTTCTCTGTTAAAACCTCTTCATGCATTTAAAATAAGAACTTCTTCACTTTTATTATTTGGAGACTTTTTCAGATGCAGCATGTGTAGTCATAGTGAGACACACACACACACACACACTTTAAACTCACACACACTCGCATAGTCAGACGATGAGATCTGCTTACATTTTTCATCTCTTACTGCCGGAGAGGATGACAGTTGGAACGCCTAATAAGTGCGTGTGTGTGTGTGTGTGTGTGTGTGTGTGTGTGTGTGTGTGTGTGTG